AACAGTCAAGATTGATAAGCGAATAATTAACAAGGTAAGAATGTAACTCAAGTAGAATGAATAGAACGGGATGTCCGAATGCTAGAATAAGGTATATGGGCTTAACATAATAACCGACACTACAATGTATCTGACTCATTCTGATTTTCTAAGATCTTCCTTGAGTTCATCCATAAACCATCCTCACACTAATAATGAAATCTAGAACGTGTATTTTGTTCTATTTAAAACTTAACAACTAAATATTCATATCGAAACTCAAATATAGTGCTTGAAAATTAAATGATAAATACATACAATAGAACGAAACGGTTGTCCAATGCTTCCAGATTATCAATGATAGTCTAACATTAATCCGTTCATAATCTCAACCAAAAACAAAAGAAAAAAATATTCCAAATGGAAGACAAATTCTTAATATGCTCTTTTTTTGATTACTTAATCAAAAACACTGAATAGATAAAGAATGATTCAATGAACGAATCATTTCGATAATATACTTTACAACAAATTGTTATATCCGAGCGAAGATTAAATCATGAGTAACTTCTGAGACATATTCATTGACTAATATTATCTATACATTCTTATGGTATAACTATTCAATAATTAGATTATGTATATTTATATTCCTCTTATTATAAGCTTCATTTTGATCTATCATTTATTATTGTACGATTTACTGTTCTTCAATTATGTTCAGTTTATTGACTACTGCCTCCCGCGTTCACAGCCGCTTTTTGGTTTTATTGTGTACAAATGTTATTTCTTATTTTATGGTGCATTGCGGTCTGTTTGGTTGATATATAAACCCAGTATGTCTGAAATAAATGATTCGATTCGATTCGCATAGTGGAAGCTGGTATTGGTGTTCTGGACTCAAGTGGACGGGCTAGGCGGACATAGGATCAATAAGGACACTAGACTGCTCATATCGGTCGAACGTCATTAGTTTGACACAGTGCTAAAATTGTATAAGTCGTATTTTGATTGATGGATAAATCACGTGATAAAAAGCCGGACATAAAGTCATAACAGAAATGATTGATCATGTGTGGATAAATAAAAAAAGTGGTAAATATTATCCATTGTCTTTTGATTATCAACATGGAAACCGTCATTCAAAGTGTGCAACTGTGTTTTTTTTATTTTCTTTATTTTAAAACATTTAAAGGCTTAAAAACATGTTTTGTTTATAAATATAAAGTTAACATTGAAATTTTTATCAAGCGGCTGTTATTTGTTTACATTGTATCCACAAAATCATCTTGAAAATTAATAAATTCTAAAGATCTAGTTATGTAACAATAATCAACAACATAAGTTTTATGGTTAAGTATGATATATACAATAAAATGTATTTTAAATTCACTTGGTGTTGTTTTAATTTATTTAAGTGAACATCATTTCTGGGATGCGGGTACATCCACCTGACGAGTCCCAAATAAGACGAAACGCGCATCAAACTGGATCCCACTGCTAGCCACTATCCATCTTTGCTTAAAAATGTATTTTAGTAATAACTTTAAAATCAAGAAGGATAGATGGTTAGATAGCTGTTTTAATCAATTTGTTCCTTATATCTATCATCCATATCAAAATGTTACCTATATGAGATCACATGTACGATCGTCAAGTTTTGTAACAATCATGACAAGTTCAAACCAAAGGAGTTAAGACTTATTGGTTAACATATATCACTTAAATCATTTTGTTTTGGACGTAGAACTTAAAAAAGTATGCATTTTTTTGTAACTAAATGAATATTGTGAAAGTAGTAAGTTTTAAATCAATTCTACGGTGAATAACCACCCACATTTTTATTGTATACTTATTGAATAACTAGATTATTATATTCCCATCGTGATGTGTGCTACTTATTTCGACATACGTAGTTTATACGGTAGAATGTCTGGCAGCAGAAGGTCAAAAAGATCGAGGAGGAAAGAATGGAAATAAAAGGCAATTGGTATGAAAATACAGGAACATTAAAGTCTGAGACAGTTAATGAACATTTCGCAAATGAAGTATTTACTGTATGGTTCTCAGATTTTACGAAGGCATTCTGTAATTTTGTATTCAAATATATTCAACTTATGTTCTTGTTCACTACACCATAGCTGTTGATATTCCTATCGAGATTTAAATCTAATATTTATTGTTTTATACAAAATACAATTATTTACTAATGATTTCATATACTCTGAACAAGGCAGTTGCCATCTCAAATTAATCGTTTACTGTATAATGAGTCCGAGTCTGAGGTGACTGGCATAGACTTTGAGTTTCGATGTAAAAATCAACACTGGACTGTAGACTTATCTAAATGACAAGTCTCGAAAATTTTTTAAAAAAACATGCATTCTGAACTCGAGTGCTGGTTATATACTAAATATATTGAGAAATGGAATTTGTTACATGTGAAATAGCTCTTTACTTATCTGGAGACAAAAGTAGATAACCTTTAACATAAGCGTCTCATTAGTTCTTATTTATAAATTAAAAGTATTTGTATTTTTTAGGGTAAATAATATTATGTATTTAATTTGAACACTTCTTATTGTAATTTCAATAGTTGAGATCATGAGTTAGTTGACGGTAGACCATCATGGAAAACCTGGAAGCACTGAACAGTTGTTTCGTCCTATTGAGGGACACCTAAGCAGTACGCATCAACGATTCCGCCTCGCCAGATTCTAACCCAGGATCTATTAGTCTTGCGCGCGAACGTTTAACCACTAGACCACTGAGTCGGCTGGCATCCAACGGTATTATTGTCTAATTTCAACTAGTCCACGAAATTGAGCGACATATACACTATTGTCTTCAGTGAGTTAATATCTCACAACAGACTCGATTGAGTTCCACTGGTCACTGGTACTCACTCATGGATGCGCACTGCTGAGGAGTCCTACAATAAGACGAAACGGCCGTCCAGTCCTCACAAATTTTCCATGGTAGTCTAGCATCAATTGACTCATGATCTTAACTATTGAAATTACTATAATATCCACAAAAATCCCTTCTAATATTCTATCTGTTTAATAAATAATTTAACACGTAGATTACATTTAATTATTTATTTATATTATGTAATCAATTCTAAGTTGATGTTTTCCTTCGATTTTTTGTTGTTGTCGTTGTTATTGTCATATCTAGAAAACTAATCTTGAAACCAAAAACCATTTTTGTACATTGTAGCTTGTATATAATTGATTCATTAAAAACTGTAAAGTACTTTAAGTTTTATATAATGGAGTATGTGTTACCTAGTCTGTCGTACGCCCTGATGGTGTTCTGGTAACTTACGGGTTGCCTGATCTGCCAAGGACGATGGGACAGTGCATGATGCTATTGTTGTTTGCTAGGTTCAAAGAGAATTGTATGCTATATGCATGCAAATCCACCCCGTTATTGTTTCTATGATGGAATATAAATTAATATTAATACGAAGTGTAATTGAATGATGATTTAAGCAGTAAATGATTAATTCACATGAATAAGTATAAATTGTGAATAGTGGTTAGTGTTCTTTGAGTCAGTTAATACTTATACATAATTAATGCGACTTTAATTAATTAATTAATTTAAACACATAAACATTGGTACAAAGGGGCATACCATAACAATGAATGCAGTAGCAGATATCATTGATTTGTGTGATGACTGTAATACTGCTCGAGCGGCCAAACTGAAACAGATAGTTTCCTTAGAGAACCTATTCCGAGGTCTTTGACCTGAAGGTCTTATCCACAAAGCAATGAAGAAACGTTAGAAGATGCAGCCCCATGGTGGTTGGTCACCAATAATAGGTTCATACGCCTTTTGTTCCCTCAGCACACTGAAGCCCATGTGTAAAATTGGTTTGGAATCAGGGTTTTTTAAACTCCCTTTGTTGGATCCTACATATCTACTAAGTGACTTTAAAGTAGATAGTGACAAATATGTATCCAGAAAAAAAAACCCAATTTGAACAAGTATAAATTATGAATTTAACTCGTCAGCATAAAAAGTCTCCGATAAGAAGCATATGACCATATATTTCATTCCTATGGCTGCTCGGTAATAGCTTGTATCTATAATCTATACAGAACTGATAAATGTAGTATCACATGATATAATAGTCTGGGATGTTAATAAGGAAGTAGTCAAATGATGTATACATGAAAGTTTCAATGAAATCATGAACCGGTTTAATTTAAACTACCATTGACTGAAATAAGACATTCATACAATTAGATACCGGTTCAGTAGTCTGAAATTTAAGCGTTAGCTTGCGAGACCGAAAGTGCTAAGCTTGATTCCTCAGTATGAGGTTATCGATGCTCACTTCTGAAAAGACTCATACTTTGATGAAATGACCGTCCAGTGCTTCCTACAACCTCTTATTGAAAATAATCTTTAATAAAATTAAAAATACTTCTTTATTATAATAACTGAACAATGACAATCATAATATCAGATGGGTTTTGTGGATATTATAGTAATTTCAATGATTAAGATCATGAGTCAGTTGAAGCTAAATCACCATGAAAAACCTGGAAGTTCTGGACGGTTGTTTCGTCCTATTGTGGGACTCCTCAGCGGTGCGATCCACGACCTCGCCCTCTGCGGGACTCGAACCCAGAACCTACTGGTTTCGTGCGCGAGCACTTAACCACTAGACCAATGAGCCAGCCGGCATCCAACGGTGTTAATGTTTAACTTCAACTAGTCCACCAAATTGAGCGACACACCCACCATTGTCTTCAGTGAGTTACTATCTCATAACAGACCTGGTTGAACTCCACTGGTCACTACTTCTCACTAGAACTCCAGGTAATACTTCGTGAAGTCAGTCACTAGTGAGCATATTTTGAATAATATCAGATGGGTTTTGTGGATAATATAGTATTTTCAATGATTAAGATCATGAGTCAGTCTAGCTTCAACTGACTCATGATCTTAATCATTGAAATTACAATCATAATAGTAATAGTAAAACAAAAAACAAAAAGTACTTACGCAACATCAAGATCTGTTTTTGTCCATGTTCGTGTTTTATTAACTATTTCATTATTATTATTATTACATCGATAATCATATGAATGATAACCATCCGTAATCATACTAATATTATCATTTATAGTATTATTACTATGATATGATTGTTGAGAATCATATTTTCGGAATAGATTCGGTGTAATCGAATGTAAATCATCAGTGGACTCTTTATAATTGTAGTACTCATTAGTATTATTATGTAAACTATCATAAATATTATTATAACTGTAACCATGGTTATTACGTAATTCATTGGATATATCATATTGATCATTATTATTATGATTATTATTATTATTATTAATATTAATATCATAATGATTATCTTGTATTAATGAACGTGGCCTTCTAGGTAATATACGATTAGGTTGTTTCTGATTAATTTTTTTATAGATTCCACTTAATTTTGTATCATTCATAGAATTAATTCCATTACATATGTAATTATAATTTAATGATTGTGAATAATTACAATAATCATGATTATTATTAAATCCATTCAATGCTTTTGTATCATTTAATAATGATTCTTCAGATGGATGATAGCTTAAATGACTTGAATAGAATTATGAATGAAAAATAAAAAGGTTATAAGAAACAATATAAACTAAATAGTTAAGAAGCGAATTGAAGTAAATTCTATATATAAATATATTCACACGGCAATCCCTCACATGGAATCCCCAAGGCCAAAGGAAAAGAGAAAGACTCAAAGAAGAACACATTACGTTGAGAAATGGAAACAGATATGAAGAAAATAAACAAAAAATTGGATAGAACTGGAAAGGAAAGCCCAAGAAAGAATGGGTTGGAGAATGCTGGTCAGTGGCATATTCTCCAATGAGAGTAACAGGTGTAAGTAAAATAAGTAATATATATATATATATATATATATATATATATATATATATATATATATATATATATATATATATATATATATACCAATAAGTCGATTGTGTCATTATCACAAGGTTAATTACATCTTAGATGTATTTCTTGACCTCTATGAATATTACCATGAAAGTATTTGCATTTCACTCTATTACCTTAACAGAGTCATAGTTACTGCCGCCGTTTACCCGCGCTTGGTTGAATTTCTTCATTTTGACATTCAGAGCACTGGGTAGAAATTACATTACATCAAAACCAATCAGTGGACATCGCAATGCTTTGTTTTAATTAGACAGTCGGATTCACCTGGGCCGTGCCGGTTCTGAGTTAGTCGTCACGCGTCAGACCATGGAAGTACAGCCGCTTGACGTAACGCGGAGCAAGTCTTCATGCGTCGCTATCTGCACGACACTAACAGCTGGAACCGCCCACGATCGATCCGGGTCAGAGTCCAGTAACCTCACCACAATGCACACCAAAGCACACAAAGCAGCAAAGTAACCAGCTCTCGACTTAACCGACAGGTATCTGATCTCCGCCTGTCTGACTCGGCCCTCAGAGCCAATCCTTCTCCCGAAGTTACGGATCCAATTTGCCGACTCTCCTTACCTACATTGTTCAATTACTAGAGGCTGTTCACCTTGGAGTCCTGCTGCGGATATGGATACGGCCTGCCAAGAAAATTATACTGCCTCGCTCGGATTTTCAAGGGCCGACAGGAGCGTTACGGACACCACAAGAAGGGTGGTGCTTTACGGAGTGATATATATATATATATATATATATATATATATATAGTTTTCTTTTGGATTCAACTAAAATAAGTTTTTAATTAATTGGATTGAATTTGACTAATACTTTATGCATAGTTACTTGGGTCCAAGTTATCCATTGATATCATATGAATAAGCATTTAATAATAACTCATTTAATTTATTGACTTCAAGGACTAAATACTTTGTCAATGATCTATTCAAACTTATAATGATAACAAATTTAATGTATGAATAAAATCATATATTGCATATCTTGTTGAGGACAGAACAAGTGAGTAAAGTACTGTTACACATAGGCTTATACAAATATAATATTCACACTTGAAAATCTTATTTTACTTATTATTTCAATTAATGATTTTTTCGAGTAGACAGTTTTTTTAAAGTGTGTTTAGGTACTTTAATGATCATCAAGACTCCAACATCTGGGAGGAAACATGTGATACAGTGGACGGATAGGATGCAGTTTGACGATCTAGATCTTCTATCGCAAACGCAACAACAAATACACGAGAAGACAACCAGTGTAGCAGAAGACTCAGCAGCAATAGGTCTCAACATACACATAGGGAAAAGCAAGATTCTCCGATACAACACATGCAACAATCCAATCACACTTCACTGAGAAGCTTTGAAAGATGTAAAAACATTTACATATTTGGGCAGCATCATTGATGAACAGTGTGGATCTGATGCAGATGTGAAGACGCAGATTGGAAAAGCAAGAGCAACATATTTATAATTGAAGAACATTTGTAACTCAAAACAATTGTCAACCAACACCAAGGTCAGAATTTTCATCACAAATATCAAGATAATTCTTCTGTATGGGGTAGAAACGTCGAGAACCACGAAAGTCATCATCCAGAAGATACAAGTGTTTATCAACAGTTGTCGACACAAAACACTTTGGATCCGTTGACCCGACACTACACTATCAGCAACAACTTACTGTGAGAGAGAATAAATGAGGTTACGGCGGAGGAAGAAATCAGGAATAAGCGTTGGAAGTGGATAGGACGCAGTATTGAGGAAAGCATCCAACTGCATCACAAATCAAGCTCTCACTTGGAATCCTCAAGGCCAAAGGAAATATGGAAGACCAAAGAACATATTATACTGAGGAATGGAGACAGACATGGGAAGAATGAACAACAATTGGAAGAAACTTGAAAGGACGGTCGAGGACAGAATGGGTTGTAGAATGCTGGTCGGTGTCCTATGCTCTATTGGGAGTAACAGGCGTAACGTAAGTAAGTAAGTAACTTTAGTGATACGGAGATAATTCATTGACATGCGTGAATTTCAAGTTTTATTTCAATTGATCTGGTTGCACAAATCAAATTTCACTACATAAAACCTGTTCAATCTAATGTAGTTTTATAAAACATTGTGGAAATTTATAAGACAGAACTTTTTCCTATTTGGTTCTATATTAGTTTATTATAATGAAAGATAATTTACAAAATGGAATAAATCATGAAGTAATGTCAGACCTGACCATCTAGTCAGTTAAGACATTAGTAGTGTGTATTTGTGTCGTTTACATCGTAGAACTACACCTTTTCTTAATTCACCTGAAAAAGCAAGTGGACTAGCAATAACCTTACTATCTTGAAACCACTACTTGAGACGTTTTCTAGCCTTACCACTAGCGAAGGAAGTCTATTAGGGGTAACTGATTGTTTTAGTTTTGTAGTTTACTTTTCACAGACCGTCTTAGTTGAGTATAAGAAGACAGTATTAATCCGATTGCTGGTCATCTTAAGGAAGTGCCTTACTGACATCATCCTATTCAATACAGCCATATGTATGATTTTGGCTTCAGACATTCAAAGGAAAGGAGTTAGTTTTAGTTTCAACTCTCTTCGATTAACCTCTATGTCATAGTGCAATCTAAAAAAATAAGTGTTCAAGGCAACAAAAAATCCCAATGAAAGAAATCACTCCACAGTAGATTTTTTTTACCAGAATATGTAACATATAGATAGTTTAATTCACTTGGTATTGTTTTACTTGAATCTTCCCACTGATGTTTTTAGGACTGAAATTGATCAGTCTCTTATTGGCATATGTGCATACTGTGCGTATGCCTTGATATTGCTTTAATTTACAAGCATTATAAGCAAGGATCAGGATTCAGTAGCTAAGTGGATAACGCGATGGCGTTTGAAAAGAACGGTACTGAATTCGAATTCCAGAGTGAACGTCAACTCTGAGATGCAGGTACATCCAGCTGACGAGTCCCAAACAGGACGAAATGCGCGTCCTGAATTCCACTGCTAGCCACTATCTATCTTTGCATATATATAGTTTTTTTTCATAAATATTCATGGAATAATTGTATTCAAAATAGTTTTGTTCAAAATAGAATAGTATCCATTATAAAATAATCTTACCCATTAAAATGATCTGATGGAGATTCTGAATGTAACTATGCATAGATATCAACAACAACAAAAAAAGGGAAGAAAATGATATAAACAAAGTGTATATTATTTAGTAATAAATATAAGTGAAAATTCTAAACCAAAAACAAAAGGATGTTTTTGAAACGTTGTATTATTTAACTGATGTCTTACGAAAAACTTTTTATCAGTATAGAGGTTGTGGAGATTATTAAGTTATTGATTGAGATCATGAACCAATTGATGTTAGACCTCCGTTAGAAACCTGGACGAAACAGCCGTCCAGTGCTTCCAAGTTTCCAATGATGGTCTGACAACAATCGATTCATGATCTCAATCGAAAGACTTTTTATAATAATAATAATAATAATAAGTTACAGTTTGTATGATTAAAGATAACTAGATATATAGATAAATTTTTGGTAGTTTCATTGCAAAATAATTATGTAAATTAGAAATAAATTTGTTAACTATGAATAAAATGATAAGAGATTATTGTATATCACGAATTGTAATGGCCCAGCTTAGATCGACTCTACAAATTCCAATACTGATAATGATCATATACTCACTAGTGACTAGATTTATGAGGGAATTCTCGGAGTTCTAGTGGGAAGTAGTGACCAGTGGAGTTCAATCCGTGTCTAGTGTTAGACAGTTATCCACCACAGATAGTAGGTGAAGAGTTGTGCAAGATCATGGGTTGATTGAAGTGAAACATCAACATCGTTGGATGCCAACTCAGCGATCTAGAGGCTAGACATTTGCGCGTGGGACCGAAGATCCTGGATTGAGGTATATATGGTACGGAATCGTGGATGCACACTGGTGAGGAGTCCCATACTACAACGAAACGGCCGTTTAGTGATTCCAGATTTCAAATGGTGGTCTAACATAGATCAACTGGTGATTCCAACTGTGAAAATACTACAACCGTCGCATATCATATTGTGATAATGAACAAATTTTTAAGTTTTATAACTTAACAAAGAAACACTGCCAAATATTATATCGAATAATATACTAAAACAAAATAACTCTTCAGTATTCCATTTTTTGTTAGTGGCTATCTAGTGAACCCTTGACCTAAAGGTCTAATCCACAAGGCGTCTTTAGGAGATGCAGGCATATGGTAGCCGGTGGCGAACATCAGGTTCATACGTCTTTTGTTCACCCAGAATTAAGAGATTTTCAAACTTGTTGTTATTGAAGAAGTTAGTATTACAATAGCGGTAAATTCTATGTTAATAAAAAAATAATTGTTTCCATCAGAATCAAAGTTAATTATGTACTGAAATTTTATGTACCGTAAAAGTTAGTGGAAAAGAAACAATGGTGGTAATCCAATTGGTATTGTCTACTTCAATCTTATTGATGTTTAGCAGTGCAATTGATCAGTCTCTTATTGGCATATGTGGATACTGTGTGTATTGCCTCGATATTACTTTGATTCACAAGTATTATAAACAAAGATAGATAGTGGCTCGCAGTGGAATCCTGTTTGACCCACGTTTCGTCCTACTTGGAACTCATCAGCTGATTATACCCCGTATCGTTCGCTTCAAACGCCATCGCGTTATCCACTTACCTACTGATTCTTGATAGCCACTTGCTTGTATATTGGGGTGAAGTTTAAATTCACTTTTTGTTTACTTGAATCTTTCCACTGATGTTTAAGACGAAACACTCGTTCTGGATTCCACTACTAGCCACTATCCATCTTTGCTTATAATGGTGGTGATCAATAAATACTTAGGATTCACTTTAAGACAAAATGACTAGTAGAAAAGAAATCATCTGGTTTACATTAGGTTCTTTAAAAAATATCGTATATTGAATAAGTTGGTCAGTTTTGATTACCTACAGGTAGGTTCAATCAATTAGTTATGTTGACAATCAATCTAGACATAACAGTTCTATGTTCACTCTAATGTAAGATTATTGATAAGAAATTTGAAAGATCTAACCATATTAAAGCAGCTTGTTAGTATTAACTAGATCATCACGTAATGACAAGTGATGATAACAATAAACTTTTGATCGTATATACTTGTCAATTGTTTAACTTTTGTAGTGATTGCATAATTTTCTTTCTGTTTTCAAAAAGAGAATGTTTTATTTGAAAGTAACTGATTGTCATAGATTGCTGTTAGGTGTAGAATAGTTATAAATTAAAAGGGGACTATTTCATTAAGCGACTGAAGATGAATAGGCAACATGCAAAATTTTTAACTTATTCACCTAAAAATGTCCTAACTACAGTGAAATCTGATTTTCGATACTTTGGCAATAGATTAAAGTGATTGATGTGTATTGTTGAGAAGTCCCAAAAGTAAATAAAATAGCTATCTAATGATTATTGATTAATTAATTGAGATCATTAGGAGATTTCAAACTTATCTGATAGGAGAAAAAGAACTTTCCAAACCCTTTTATAAAATACGCACTGGTTACATCATACTGCAATATCCTCACTGGAAATATTATTTTATACAATTAAAATAAAGTAATTGAGATCATGAACCGATTGATATTAGACCAACATTGAAAACCTGGAAGCACTCCTGAGCAGTGCGCATCCACGATCCCACCTCACAAGACTCAAACCCAGGACATTCAGTCTCGCACGCGAACGCTTAATCTAATAGACCACTGAGGTGGCTAGCATCCAATGGTGTTAATGTCTAACCTTAACCAATGGTGGTCTAACATCAATCAGTTCATGATCTCAATCAATAACTTCACAACTCTATACTGATAATTGAGTTTTAATACTCATTTTGAACATTATAAAACTTACATTTTTTGTATAATAATGATTAGATTGATAATTATGGTGTTCAGAACATAATAAGTTATTCTTATCCAAAGGTTTACTTGAAATGAAATTATTTGAACCATAATGTCTTTGTATAATGATTGGTTGAATAGGATCCTCATCTAAAATAAATAAGTAAGGATAATACTAATTGATGAAGATTAAAAATATATATATATACCCTTGTTAAAGTTGATAGAATAAGGTAACCTGTTTTGGGACAAGGGTTAAGAATATGATAATGATGGTGTTGTTTACGAAAATGAGAGGACGAAAAGGGAATGTCTGGCGCTTTAACCGGATTCCAAACCAATGGTGCACATGGGCTCCAGTGTCCTGAAGGAACAAATGGCGTATGAACCAATCGTTGGTCACCGGCTACCATGGGACTGCATCTCTTTACGATGCTCCACTGCCTTGTGGATCAGACCTTCAAGTCGAAGGCTCGGGGAGTGCCTCCCTAAGAAAACCACCTGCTTCGGTTTGGGCACCCTAGCAGTATCACAGCCCTCACACATATTGAATGAGATTTGTGTGGTGCATATGTATTTGGTGCCTCCTTGTACCAATATCTATGTGTTGAAATAAATAAATAAAGATACAGTTATAATTTGGAGATCAGTCGTATCAGGAAGTAAAACTATTTAAACTAACTGATGTACATAGTTGAATTCATTGAGCATTCACAGACATTAAGTATATAACAAAAGAATTTGTCACAGTGTACTAATGATTCTGTACTATAGGATCAGATTGATAAGCTAGTTGAATATGCTATTAAGGATAAACTTTGACAATTCGTGTTCCCCATAAGTTCTTATAATTAGAAGATTGCACAAATGTTATGTTATAGATATTACTGAATCTATTGTGATAAGATTTGTTTAAAGTTGTTGAGCCAGTAGGTGGCAATAAAACTATTCATTAGTATGACATTCCTTTAGCAAAATTATTATCACTATTTCCATTCGTATATATGAATTTAGACCCTGCTAAGATTTAATAATAAATTTTATGGATTTATTTGATGTATCACACACTTTGTTTATGCTCAAAACTATGTGAATCATAGGTAAGGATCTGTATAATATCAACATTAAAAACAAAATATTGATTTATTTTCGGTAAAGGGTGGAAGAAAATGTTGGGTTTTATTGAAATCATAGACTGATTAAAGTTAGATTACCGATTGGAACCTACACAACTCAAATCTGACAATTACCATGCGCACATTAGTGACTAGATTCAGGAGGAAATCCATGGAGTCCTTGGTGGTTCAGAGGTTAAACGTTCGTGGACGAGACCGAATCTCGTTGCTTTGATTCTCACGTGTGGATTTGTGAATTGGCACTAGTGATTGGTCTCACACTAAGGATTAAAAGGGTATCCAGAACTCCCGGGTTTTCAATGTTGGTCTAACTTATATCGGTCTATGATTTCAGTCATAGTGGTTTATATTGACATCCTGTGTTGGATCGGATATAAAGTAAATACATTCAAAATCAATTAATGACTTATGTGTAGTAATATCTGTAATGCTTAATTGACGCACGTTTCTGATGAGAATTGGACCTGGATTTCACTTTGTAGAATGTTTAGTGGAATAATGTGTACTATTATGAATGTATACTGTTAAGAGGTCAGAAACTGAAGTGCAACTGATGTGTAGTTATTTATGGCTTTCCTCTATTAATATAAGTCATAAATATTATCTACAATATCCTGATAATAGGATATAGATATATAGCTCAAAGTCAATTTATTGGATGTATTACTATCCACATACAGTCATGATAAATGTTAACCTAGTTAAAGGTATAATTTAAACTTGAGAATTTCTGTTCTACAATTCTTCCATGACCTTATATTTTTAACTTCACTTGGTGTTGTTTTACTTGTATCTACCAATTGTTATTTAGGACTGCAATTAATCAGTCTCATGTTGGTATATGTGCATCCTATGCGGATTGCCTCGACATAGCCTTAAGTCACAAGCTTTTTAAACATAGATGAATAGGGGCTAGCAATGGAATCAAGTTTGACGCGAGTTTCTTCTTACTTGGGACTCGTCAAGTGGATGTATCTACATCCAAGAGTTGATGTTCACTTCGGGACTCGAACCCAATACCGTTCGCTTCAAACGCCTTTTAGTTAGTTTTTTTTTCAAAGTAAAACATTTAAACAAAATTTACCTGATTTCTTATCTAAATTTCGGTCGTAACTATTATGTCGCCATGTTGTTAATTGAACATTGTCAACATGATCATCAATATTACCATCTAATTTCTTTTGATTTATATGTTGATATGAATAATGATCATATGGACTATGCAAATAATTCAATTCACTATGTCTTCGATTGCTTTCTTTCTCATTTAATTTTATCATTCTCCCAGATAAATCTTGTTCACTGAATGCATTATAATGATTTATCTAAAATTAGGAACAACAGATTATTTGTAAATAATTAATAACAGATTAATTTATAATGATTAAATGATTTACATTCATTAAGATAATAGGTAATTGTATATTATCATTGTTACTAGACAGTGGTCATAAAGTTACTGTTATTTTTAATGAAGCATAGGCCGCCGACTAGCATTCTATAACCCATTCTGTCCTCGCCTCGGCATTCCTTTCTAGTTCCATCCAATTGTTGTTCATTCTTCTTCCCATGTCTGTCTCCATTTCTCAGAGTAATGTGTTCTTCTTTGAGTCTTCCTCTTTTTCTTTGTCCTTGAGGATTCCATGTGAGGGCTTGCCTTATGATGCACAGTCGGATACTTTCCTCAAAATGTGTCCTATCCACTTCCAACGCCTATTCCTGATTTCTTCCTCTGCTGAGATGTAGTTTGTTCTCTCCCATAGTAGGTCGTTGCTGATAGTGTAGTGTCTGGTCAACAGATCCGAAGTATTTTGTATCGACAACTGTTAATAAACATTTGTATGTTCTGAATGATGACTTTCGTAGTTCTTCAAGTTTCCGCTCCATACAGTAGCAAATAAAAATTAATCATTCTGAGCGATCTACTGTATATATACGTAGTTTTATAAAGCTTTTCTATCTCATCTCTTAAATACAGAATAAAGTGAAAGGATTCAAGCTTATAATGCTGGTCTATGTGTCATGATAAAACTGATGACACCTATATCATTTCATTGGTCTGATGAAACTTAATGAACTATTTTTATTAATTTTTGATGCCCAGTTTTTTGTTTATTTATCCTAACTTCTTTTCTTCTATAATCTTCACTTTCTGGTTATCTGAAGACTTCTTACTACATCATTTTATTAATTTTTAATGTTGTTCTTTTTTCCTCACAAGTTTTCACTTAATTCAGATGTTGCAAGATTAACACAAGCCTTCATCATTCTTATAACTCTGAATAAATCTGTTATCTTTATATCAATATGCTCTATTTACTTATTCTAATCATTTATGAAGCCTAATTGATTGAAGTTGGAAACGTGTAATATCTGCTGAAGGGTTCAGAGAGATGTGAATGAATAAAGTTTGATTATTAGTGGGGTCATGTTGATTATCTGTTGAAGAAAACAAATCGGGTGAGTAACATCAAGCATTGCTCTGTATTTAAAAATACTATTATCCGAACAGTGGTTGATTCATGACAAATACCTCCATATAAGGTATAAACTGAGGGATATATTTGGAAAAATCTTTACGCCGTTGGATAACGATTACGTATATTACTGTTATTCATTAATTTTTCACAAATATCATGTTCTATTGAAAGCCTAGAACATTCCTAAAAAGCACATATACCAATGGATAATGAGAATGTATTAAGAACACATAAATTCAAGTGGAACTTATTGTTGAGGATGTTAGACTCCTAGAACTCACTTGATAAATGTCTTATTTTTGCTCCAAAAACGCCCGTTTTCATCTTCATCATGTATTTTCCATTTGAGAGGACTTTAAATATCTTTGGTTCATTGTCGTTTTCAATATGCTATTTTGTACTATTTCCTAAGGACATTTTTATGCTATATATGTACGCTTAAGTTATGCTTGTTGTCGTTAATACTTCTGGTTATTTGTCGAATATATCTTCCTTCTTCTAAACCTGAACTTCTCTCTCTACTTAGCATCGAACTAGTTAACTTATTTGATCATTGTGTCACTAGGTTTTCATTTCATCCTCAGATTTAAATGATCTCATAGTCTTTTCAAACATAACATTTTAGAAAAAAAAACTTTTTATAAACAATACTCTAAAGATAAACAATACTTCATAATTTCCATATAGTTATTTAAATTCAGTAGCTTAGTGGATTACATATATCATTATTAGAACCATAAACGAATAGGTTCCAATCACATTGTCAATATATATTTATATATATCAGTAAGGGGTTTTTGTGGATATTATAGTAATTTAATAGTTGAGATCATGAGTCAATTGAAGCTAGATCACCATGGAAAACATGGAAGCACTGGACGGCCAGGTTTTCCATGGTGATCTAGTTTCAATTGATTCATAATTTCAACTATTGACATATACAGATCTAGCAAATGAACTTCAAACAGAACAGAACTCATACTCTGATTTCCAGTGTCACACATAATCTTAATGTATAAAATGTATAAATATGATATTCATCATAAGATATATAAACAAATAAGCATATTAATATGAATAATCATAATAACTTACACCGAATTCCGGTTTTAATGGTCTAGCTATATGTGTCACATATTCTTCTTTGACTTTTGTTAATTTTATTGGTGTTCTTGATTTTTTTATTGTTGTATTTATATTTGGTGTTGATTTATAATGACCATATTGTTTCAATAAACCAATTTTATTTATATATGATTGATTATTATTACTATTAGTAGCAGTAGTAGTAGTAGTTGTTGTTGTTGTTGTTGTAGTAATAGTAGTAGTTGTATTATTAGTAGTATATTGCATAATTTTTTCTGAAGTTGAAAGATCTACCTAAAATAATAATAAATAAACAAATATCCTTGTATACATTGAATATATATATTAAAATAATGAATATGGATATGTATATCAATGTATAGTTGTTGAATTGTATTAGTAGTATATTAAATAATGTATAAGATAATGATGATTACCGATTGTTTGTTTCACTGGTTACTTAAGCTTGTCATTCAAATTACAAATCACAGTTTGTTTTTTGTCAGATATTTTCTGTTTCTGTGTCATTCAATGTATTTGAATACATGAATGTATCTCTATATATACATATATATGTACATATGAAGTACATGTGAACGAAATGTATTAGCTGAGCTTGATTTAAATATAGATTTACCTTGATTCAAAGAAGAAGAAGAAGAAGAAGAAGAAAGAGAAGAGACCAACTAGTTTATGGTTTATGATATATATATATATATATATATGTAGAATAGATTGATAATTCTATAATCCGAATGATTATTCTATTGTAGATCATATGATTTTGAAAAAGATATACATTAAAGGTTTTGTTAATAGATGAATTTAAATACGAATATTCCATTATAATCTCTAGGGGTATAAATAAATAATTAATCATTGATCAGTTTAAGAAATAAATTTAATTTAGTGTTCTAAGGATAAATAAATATTTGAGATTATTAGTCAGTTGTTACTAGACCAACATGGAGAACTTGGAAGTATTGGACAGGCGTTTCGTTCTATTGTGAGACTCCTTAATAGTGTGTATCCACGATACCATCTCGTGAGATTCAAACCCAGAACCTATCGGTCTCGCACACGAACGTTTAATTCATCTATATTGCTTGATAGAAATAAGGATAGTTTCCTTTACTGTCAGTGAACATTTATTCAACAATCAGTTGATACTTTGGATAAAATAGAATACAATACATATAATACCAATAAAAACTGTCATTATTAAAACAATACGAAAACAAAAGATTCATAACAGTTTCTTGATCAAACATACTTGATCACACATACTACTTATATCTGCCAAAATAAGTAGAGCACACCGTTCGACCGTTGCTGCTACCTTGACGTGGTGGTCGGGCTTGCCTATCGTAATCAACAAATCGAGCTATATTGGCTGGAACAATCATTACTCAAGCTCCTACCATGTCAGACAGGTCAGTTGAAGAACAGTAAGAATAAAAGCAGCAAAGGGCAAAGTTGCACTGCTGACTGTACAGCGGTGTGATGGCAGTAAGGTGTTTCCCTCAGATAACCGGCATAACAGCGATGCTGTCTTCTCACAAAGAAGGGTGGGGTTAGAGAATGTCGACCCTAAAAAATGCACATCTCGCATTGCCCAACGGATTTCCGTCTCCGGCGGCAAGATCCTACCATGTACGGAGCTAACACGAAAATTACAAACAAGTCGCGTGTTACTGTCCTTAAGCAGTTATCCCTTGTGCATTGCTGTCACGCTCTCAGGTCACTAAAACCACCTCTAATCCAATTCCCTTTTCAGGTATCTCTAGAAGAACCCTTCCACGGTGTGGGCCATTGGGAAGTGATAACCGCTCTCATACCTGTAATATCATTCAATACCACGGTATTCATAATCAATTCCACTCTAACTGAAAGTACCAACATAGGTATATAGAAAGGATAAATAGGAATTAATGAATAGTAAATAAGTCAACATATTTTTCAAATTATTGAGGTAAAAGTTCCACTACTATCGATTTTACTTTATCCTATCATATGATTTTGAATATTAATATCGATTACATTTTAATGTAGTTCTCAGCACCAATCATGCAATAGTTCAATACATTCAACACAGGTTGACATAAATTCAAATTACAATTATTGAAAAAATATATTTTGTTTAAACATTTTTTAGTAACTAATAAGTATATGTCTTGATCTTGTATAATTATTATTTTTCATTTTATAGTGTAATACGATCTAGTTTGCTTGTATATAAACCATGTATAAGATGGTGGTTGAAGGTAGTCAACAGGAAATCTTGGACCCGGGTTTCGTGCTACTAGGCACTCGTCAGCAAGGTGTATCTGTAATCTTAAGGGAACTGATGCTGTCTGACTGATTAGATCTCGTGTCATCCAACTTCATAGTCAGAGATGTTACCACTGGGCTATCCGGGCTGAGACCGACCTACACTAGGACTGGGATGTAATCACAATTGATTGATTCCTGGGTGGTGATCCATGTCATGTGTGTCAAATCCTTCCTAATACAGATTGAATGCTATCCGTCAGGAAGCACTAGTTCCCTCAAGATTACAGGTACACCTTGCTGACGAGTGCCAAGTAGCACGAAACCCGGATCCAAGGTTTTTTATCACTACCTCCAACCACCATCTAATCATAACATAGTGCACGCAATGTTGAGTCACCTAGATTAGTAGCCACATTACAACTTGGTCGATAGGATTCGATCTGCACTAAATAAGGACCTGACACACATGATATTGATCACCACCCAGGGATCATTCAATTGTGATAAACCTTATAAATCTGAACTATTCAATTGATATGGAGGAGGCTGAAATTGTGTTCTACAGAACTGCGTGAGAGGGATCAGAAAAGACTTAGAATTGACGCAACGTTTCTTGTGCTGATCGACATGCTATTGGTTTAGCACATGGATAAAGTCACATATATTAGTCGGTATTCTGATAGGCGGTCTTATCATATGATAATTGACAAGGTGAAAATTTTTAACCATAATATCAAATAATACCTGATGAATATGATGTAATGATTGCTTTAATAAATCAGCTTACTTTTTAATTTTATGATTGATAAACGTCAAACAAAAATTTCATAATTAACAATTTGTTGAATCGAATTATCGTAACTTTATGGTACTACTATTATATTTTATAATTATGATAATATTCAAAATAAACGGAATAATTTGAAGGTTAAGTAATTATAAGATTTAAACATGAATGAGAAGTTAAATTCACTTAATATTGTTTTATTTGAATTTTATCATTGATGTTTAACACTGCAATTGATCAGTCTCTTATTGGTATATGTGGATACTGTGTGTATTGCCTTGATATTAATTTAATTCACAAACATTCTAATCAAGAAAAATGGATAATGACTATTAGTGGAACTCAGTTTGACACGTTTCACTTCGTCCTATTTGGAACTTGTCAGTTGGATGTATCTGCATCTCAGAATTGATGTTCACTCTAGGACTCGAACTCAGTACTGTTTACTTCAAACGCCATCACATTATTCACTTATCTACTGAGTCCTGATAACAGACTGATCAATCATATTGTTAAACATTAATGAGAAGTATCAAATAAACAATATCAAGTGAATTTAAACTTCACCTTCAATGCACAAGCAAATGGCTTTAAATAATTTTCTTGTGGTTAAGTGCTCGTGCGCGGAACCAATAAGTCCTGGGTCGTGGATGCGCACTGCTGAGGAGTCCCGCAATAGGATGAAACGGCCGTCCAGTGCTTCCAGGTTTTCCATGATGGTCTAGCTTCAATTCACTCATGATCTTAATGATTGAAATTTACATATATAGTTATATCATAACTCACCCCAATCTCTTCATTTGAATTATATCGTTCTATCGTATCAGGAATCTTCCATGTAATATCATTCATTTTATAATAATTATTATTATTATCATTATTGTTCAGATATAATGTTGATGAATTAAATTGTTTTATGATAGAATTATTTACATTTGGTAAACTTTCACAAGATATATTTGATAATGGAGATTGACTAATTGATGATTTGTAAGATGGAATATTACTATTATTAGTATTATTATTATGTAATTGGATATCTTTTCTATAAGCTGATCTAGTTGTTATTGGTAATTTTGGATATGAATTCATTTTTATATTATGATTATTTTCACGAATAATTGTTATTTTAGGATGATGATTTATAGGATCCAGTGTAATGGATGTATCACTGAATGAATTCAGTTCTGTCTTGATTATTCCAGATGATGATTTACTCAATAAAGGTGATACTTCTATTGATTTATTATGATGATTATTATTATTCATAATTTTATGATTAATTCTTAAACCGGAATGACTTAAATCTGATATTGATGCACTTTTAATATTGTCTAAATATTTAGGAGTTAGATCTGAAAAAGAAAATAGTTTGTTGCTTATATCAATCAGTTTAATATAGAGAGTACTGATTTGTTTAAAGATTATTCTGTGAATTTTGTTTCTGAAGTATCTGACTTGAGAATCAAGAAGTCGAATGAAGGCGAGACTTTAATTTAGGGACGACCTTTGAACGAATCTTAAATGACCTCGACAATTATTAGCCAATCAGAAGACAGTTAGTATGAAGTAAAAATATATTATAAGAAATTAATGAATTACAGTGGATATTCTTCTTTTACATGATTTAAAAAGGTTTGATAACGGTTCAGAGGTTCTGAATTCATAATGGATACGGTATAGAAACTCGTTCATAGGGTTAGGTTTAGGGTTAGGATTAGGGTTAGGGTGGCGAGATTCTAATTTAGGGACGAGCCATAAAGAAGCGATTGATCAATTTCAAATTCACGGAGCCAAGTTCTACACGTGATGCTAACATACGATCGGTTTACAGCGGATTTTGGAGAAGAGGTGTTTATTCAGAGGTTACAATCCTTACCCTAACCCTAACTCCTAACCCTGAATCCTAACACTAACCCCTAACCTTAACCCCCAAACCTAACCCCTAACCCTATGGACGAGTTTCTATACCGTATCCATTATGAATTCAGAACCTCTGAACCGTTATCAAACCTTTTTAAATCATGTAAAAGAAGAATATCCACTGTAATTCATTAATTTCTTATAATATATTTTTACTTCATACTAACTGTCTTCTGATTGGCTAATAATTGTCGAGGTCATTTAAGATTCGTTCAAAGGTCGTCCATAAATAAGAGTCTCGCCACAAAAACTACTTATTCAATAACCTTTGGTGTTTAACTATTAGAGAAAGTATCAGATGGATTTTGTGGATATTATAGTAATTTCAATAGTTAAGATCATGAGTCAATTGTAGCTAGACCACCATAGAAAACCTAGAAGTACTGGATGTCCGTTACGTATTATTGTGGGACTACTCAGTAGTACGCACCCACGACCTATCAGGCCCGCCCGCGAATGCTTAACTACTGGACTATTGAGCCGACTAGCATCCAACGGTGTTAATGTCTGACTTCAACTGATCCACGAAATTGTGCCACTTTTCCATCGTTGTCTTCAGTGAGTTACTATCTCACAACTGACTCGTTTGAACTCCACTGGTCACTACTTCTCACTAGAACTCCAGGATATACCACTTGAAGCCAATCACTAGTGAGCATATGTCGATTAATATCAGATGAGGTTTGTGGATATTATAGTAATTTCAACAGTTAAGATCATGAGTCAGTTGAAGCTAGACCATCATGGAAAAAGCTTAAGTAATATGTTGATGGATGAAAATCAAAGTAATCTAATGAGTAATGGATTGGCATTCCCATATATATTTATGGCTACTTCCTTTACTAATCTTATTTAATAGATCAAATAAAGATATAAATTTTATAGAGATTTGAGTGGGAATGCTTTCAGATATTGACTTAATAGTGAACAAAAGTATTTTAAGCAGATGGTCGGAAATTATTCACAGTTTATGTATAATTAATAATGAATTTCTATTATTTATGAGAAAGTTTTGATTTATTTCTAAAAAATAAATGTCAATTTCTATGTCGTATAAATGAGATATGAGTAGACTTTAATGATTTCGAAACTAAGCTTACAAACGCTTAACCTCTAGATCACTGAGATAACATTCAACGGTTTGAATCTTTAACGCCCTATGAACCCATGATTTTTTGCAAACTTTAAGTGGTCTGTTGACTGATGGTTTGCACTTGAAACCAAGGGTCCTAGATTCCATTCCCATGGACCGATTATAAATTTATACTATTAAGGAGTTTCATACCATTCATCCAGTGAATCCAGGTTTTCAATGATGATCTAGCTAACTTAAGTACATGATTTCAATTGTGAAAATACTACAACCTCTACAAATCTCCTATACTAATTTGTTATTTTATTTATTTATACTATTATAATTATAATAATACACAATTTAAAAAAATATATTTTCATCTGTTATTTAAAACAAAACAGAACGCACACACAATTATCATACAACATCTAACTACTAATAACAATTAATAGTAATATAGCTAACAGGATTTACTAACCAGTTTCTTTGAAACTTGTATATTTATTAATTTGTTTTATGTTGTGTTCATCTAAATTATAACCTAAATAATTCTTTTTCAATGCTAAATTTGACATCAAACAACTAGATACGACAGTGTTAGTAGACGTAATCGTAGTCGTCATCGTCGTCGTCGTAGTAGTAGTAGTAGTAATAGTATTTACTGTCATCGGAACAGTGGAACTAATTAACTTCCCCTGGAATACAGGTATTAATGAATGGTGATTATGAGTATTAAGTATATTATTCTTATTATTAGTCCTAGTTGATAGTTTTCGTATTGGAGGATAAGATTTAATATGTTTAAACATTATTTTTTGAGCATTATTATTATTATTATTATTCATATATTGATTAACATTACTTTTATCAAATGTATTATGATGATTAGTGATAGTGTTGGTTAGCTGAACTTGTGATGAATGTTTTGGTTTATTGATTAAAGTTGATTTCAAATATTGTTCATCATGTTTTATCGATGTTAAAATAGGTGATGTTTGTGTAACCATTTTGTTTTCTGATTGTTTTGATGTTGAAATTGTATTTTTTATTGTTGCTACGGTAGTATTTTTCTTATCACCTCTAGAGAAAAACGAGAAAAAAAAATGAAAAAAAAACGTAATGATAGAAGGCTGAAATATTCAAGATATGTTTTGTGTTTACTTACAAGTAGTTTTTATAATAAAATGAGAATTTGTAACCCCATTAGTGTTAGTAAACGTCTGGTGATCTATCTACAAAGCTGGTTAAGTATACTATACATAATGACTTAATTATAAATAAAGATGTGTTGTTATATATCTGAAATGTTAACATTCAATTGAAAGCTTGTAATTATTGTTTGGGCTGTACACTTTTGCAAATTTGTACTGGTTATAATCTATTATTTCAATGGTAGACATCATGAGTCAGTTAAAGCTAGAACACCATGGAAACCTGGAAGCACTGAAAGGCCGTTTCGTCCTATTGTAGGACTCCTCAGTAGTGCTCATTCACGATCTCACCCCCCGCGAGATTCGAACCCAGGACCCATCAGTCTCGAGTGTGAGTGCTTAACCACTAAATCACTGATTACAGTGGTGGATGTGTCGTTCAGTTTCGTGGATTAGTTGAAGTTAGCCATCAACACCGTTAGATGACGGTCGGCTCAGTGGTCTAGCGAGCGAGACTGATAGGTCCTGGGTTCGAATCTCTCAGGGGGTGGGATCGTGAATGTTCAGTGCTGAGGAGTTCCACAATAGAACGAAACGGCCGTCCAGTACTTTCAGGTTTTTCATGTTGATCTAGCTTCAATTGACTCACGATATCAAATCGCTACAATATCCACAAAACAACTTCTGATAACAATCTATTATGTTTTTAAAGGATCTTATTGATTGTTTAATATAAAAATGCCATTACATGCTTTTTGTAGTGTTCGACAATTTCACTTGTAATTTTTTTAATTTCTTGTGTTTTACGTATTATCCTTTACTGTTATCCATTTACGTTCTTGGGATTTTAAGAAAAGTTTTTGGTGTTTAACGGAGAGTGATGTAAAGATTAGAAGGATATGTATTGAATCTTATGGTGCTCTAATGAATATGCTTGTAGATAAATATTTGAAATATATAAAGATACTGCTAAATGTAGTTTTATCAGACACTAAACGTCTTCTCCTTCCCTATTTTCTAATTGTATATTTTCAAGCAGAGTAGGATACAGATAAATAAGAATATATCTTTGCAAAAAAAAGTACAAAGGCTCTTCAACACAGTTTACAACACATCTAGTAAACGGAAGACAGGTTTCGAACAAACTAATTGCATTCTTGGAAATGATTAAAGAGAATCACGAGAGCGGACAAGCAGGAATATGTAGAAGATCTCGTAACGACAGAGGAAAATGCTGCAAAAAACGTAATTATGAGACAAGTATATGACACAATGGTGAAGATAGTTGGGACATAACGTAAATCAGAGAAACCGGTCAAGGACAAAAAAGGCAAGCCGATCACTGAGATTTAAGAACGGCGGAACAAGTGTGTAGAACACTTTGAAGAACTCTTAAGTAGATCAACTCCACTGAATCCACCGGACATTGAAGTGGGACACAGAGACCATCCTATACTTGTTACTTAACCAACAATCGAGGAAACCACCAAGACCATCGGAAAAATCAAGGGTGGGAAAGCAGTAGAACCTGATAACAAACCAGCTAAAGCACTGGGGTCGAATAGAGAACTGAATGCAAACATGCTCCACACTGTGTTCAGGAAGATTTGGGAGAAAGAACAAATGCCAACAGACTTGAAAGAAGGACAACTCAAGATACCAAAGAAAGGAGATCTGAGCAAATATAAGAACTACAGAGGTATCACACTACTACCAGTACCAGGAAAAGTTTTCAACAGAGTATTATTGAACTGGAAAGTTTTCTATTTTGCACGAAAAAATGTTTACAAACAACTTGTTGAATGAATACACAAAACAGAAGATAAACTTTTATTTGACAGTATTTCGTTTGAAAATTCAGTAACTGTTCGCAAGTGTTTTATGGTGAAAAACTTCAATTTTAAATGATATTTCAATAGTTCATTTTGTTGAAACTCTTAATCGTGTTGAAATGAAAAAAAAGTGCGACACTATAATTTATGGACAAACCAATCACGTATAAGATAATAGGTCTCGGGTTTCGGCGCGAAATTCAGCCATTCGGATAAATAGAGTTTTGACATTAAAGCTGATGTCAGTTCATGATGAAAACCCGAAATCTAACTTCTAACTTTAATCATCAACTGTAAATTATCATTTGAATCCCTAACACTGGTTTATGACCGTCATTTAATCCTGGTTATTAAGTGGACACTCCCAAGGTCAGTCGCGTGTCGCTCAAAGGTCATCCATAAATTATGGTCGCACCAAAAAATGATACAACGAAATATTTTTCAGGAGTAAAAAATGTGAAATAACAAGAAAACATGGAAAGAGTCAAATCATATGAGTTATGAAATTATGCTCAAGAACGACAGATGAGTATCTATAGTAATCCTTGTTGAACATTTCAAATATTAACAATAATTGATTACTGATTGATGGCAAATATTTCGATCTAAATCTCTCAGAAAGTAGTAATCCTCTCAGAATTGTTGACGTGGCTAATTAAAGAGTAGCGGCTACCATGAAACATCATCTCTTGGTTTTACTATGGAATACCTTTAACCATCTATAACAATGATGTACGTTCAGACTTTTGACTATTTTGTTTCTAGCCTCTTGTAATACCTAGTGATAGATTTGGGTAAATAACAACATCTAAATAATCCTAGTAGATTTAATTAAATAATTCCAACAGAGTGACCAGACTACAATTTAAAACAAGAAAGCACCGGATAGCAGTTTCTTTCTAGAATGGGACTCCTCAGCGGTGCGTATCCACGACCATGCACGTGAAATTCGAATCTAGTGACTTCGGTCTCGCGCAACAAAGGCTTAACTTCCAGACCATTGAGCCGTTATGCAACGGTGTTAATGTATAGCTTATCAGTCTTTTAATTAAACGCTACATTTGCTCCCTATGCTCTTCTAGTAACCAGGATAAATCTACACAGCGACTTGAATACGAAAGAAAAGGTGCAAAATGTGCAAGAAACGCTTTACTCTGAAGATTCATTTATGTACAGAAAATCTATGGTATTTATAGTATTTTAGATGACCTCAAGCTTCCATAAATTTCTGGAACGCTATCAAACATTGTAGCAGTATAGATAATCATCCAGTCACGAACGCTAGATGGTACTGTTCACTTTCTAGATGTTTCTGGCAAAACGTCTATTGAATACTGATTGGATAAGATGTTTCTTAGTGTTTTCAGAGCCTTTTTTTGTCTTTTTTTCAAAGAAAGTTCTGGATCGCCCCAATACTAATATCAACCAATCCATAATACTGTGCGATTATTCAAAAGCGAAACTAAAGGCATTGAAATTCACAGACATGATTGTGGATGAGCACTGACTGCTGAAGAGTCTCATACAAGAACGAAACAGCTGTCCAGTACTTCCTTGTTTTCAATGATAATCTAACATTGATTCATTCATGATTTTAATATATATGTTATGATAACAATATTATTTTATAATCATTTTGATATATGTATTGTAAATATCGCTAAGTACACTAGGATCCACACTATCTGAATACTTTTATAAACACATTTTTCAGGTAATAAAAACTAATAATGACAACTTGAAAAGAAAAAAAGAGATTCACACTTAAGTCGATCATGTGGATAAAGTAAATAGATAGAGATTATTTGATTATATTTTAAATACATAGCAACTGGTTGATATTTTGACTTCAAGTACTCAAAATTGACATGTAATACAATTTATATATTTTACAAAAATCAATATTCAAATACGATTGGTTAAACATAGTATAGATTTGATTGGTTAATAGCTATATATTTCTTTGATGATTTTAATTTTGTTGATTACCCTGAAGAAGTTCAAACAAGTTAACTGGACGAAATGTTGGAATTATTTCTACATTTCAATTGCTGAGATTATTTCAAATATAATTTTCATATATAATAACATCTTTATACTCGGCACTTAATTTCTGTCAAACTATTCGTTCTAATCTTGACGAATATTCGTACAATTTATATAACTTTAAAAAAGAATAATAAACAATATAGAAATAAATCTCTTAAATATTTATTAATGTTTTCCATGAAGGTCTATCTAAAAAATAGTTTTTAAATACATATAAAACCTTTCAATAGTTGAGATCATGAGTCAATTGAATCTAGACCATTATGGAAAACCTGAAAGCACTGGACGGCCGTTTCGTCCTATTGTGCGATAGTGACCAGTGGAGTTCAACCGAGTCAGTTGTGAGATAGTAACTCAGTGATGACAATGATGGATGTGTCACTCAATTTCGTGGATCAGTTGAAGTTAAACATTCACACCGTTAGATGTCGATCGCCCCAGTGGTCTAGTGGTTAAGCGCTCGCGAGCGAGACTGATAGGTCCTGGGTTCGAATCTCGCGAGGTGGGGTCGTGAATGTGCACTGCTGTGAAGTCCTACAATAGAACGAAACGACCGTCCAGTACTTTCAGGTTTTCCATGGTGATATAGCTTCAATTGGCTCATGATATCAATCACTGAAATTGCTATAATATCCACAAAACCCCTTCTGATACACATTAAACCATTGTTAATCATATGATGAACACCCAGATATGTTTATTTAAAAATAGAGGTAAATGTCTTGTTTTTTAGAAAAACTAATAAGTATGAATAAACCATTGAAAACATTGATCAATTGGCCCTACGTCGAAGTTAAAATGTTTTCTTTCAGTTCTATGAAGCAAAAAATTGATATATTCCAACGAGAATTAT